GGGGGGGGGGGATTCATTCTATACCCAATGTATTTTTACATTTTAATGTAAGGGAGAGTTTAATTTCTGAAAAGACAGTTGAAGGAATAATTGTTTTAAATTGACTCTCAGGCCATCCATTTTTTTTTCATTGGAAAAATTCAATAAATGCCTCCATCATTAAAACATTTTTTAACTTCAAACCATTGCTTCCAGCTAAAATACGAGTCCTCTATTTATGATATTGCTTTCTCCAGTGGAAAAGTCCTCTCATCTGAAACAGGAGAGAAATATGCAAGATCAAGCACCATTTACAAGTGAAAAGAGTTCTAATCAAATCCATAATGATGGATTAGTTTTTTTACAGACACAGCTTTTCACTTCACAGGACATTAATTGATAGGCTGGAGTTGTGTGGATTATTGTGATGTTTTTATCAGCTATTTAAAGTCATTCTGACGGAACCCATTCACTGCAGATGATCCATTAGTGAGCAAGTGATGAAATGTTAAATTTCTCCAAATCCGATAACAAACTTTTTGGACGGCCTAATGGTGAGTACATTTTCAACAAATTTTCATTTTTGGGTGAACTATTCCTTTAAAGATATTCCCAGAAAAAAGATCTATCATTCAACATACATAGACATTTTGTGACAGCATGTCTCAATACTGGTAGATATAAATAAAGCCTTGAGGCAAACTTCCCAGTGTGAGAACCAGCCCTGGTCTATCCTATATCTCTGTACTGTTGTGGTATGTGAAACATGATTGAGCCAGCTATATTATTTCTCTGAGACATCCCTGATTACAGTTTTTGTTAACTTCAGCCTAAATATTTTGTATCACTTCTCTGTTCCTCATTTGAGTTATATGACCAATCAAATCTGAGCACGAGGTCTGCTCATCACATATGTCCAGAATGACCAAAAGCATCAAAATACCAGACAAGAAATCACGTAACAACTGGACAAACAAAATAAACTTCATCAAGATATCCACACAAGAATGCTCTTTATATGTAACTACTATATGAGAAAATATTAGGAGAGATGCTGATGCAGCTCTACTGTGCAATATAAATCCTCTTCCATTCCATCAATGGCTTTTACACATGTTTCTGGAGTTATA